GAAGTACAGCCAGGCAAACAATGCACAGCAGTGCAACAATGTAACTGCAAAGAACAAAGCATGGAAAACTGGATGTTAGAATCTAATCGTCAAACATGGCCCCAGAGCAGAGATGAAAAACAGCTCTCTCCCTTCTTTGCAGCTTGGAAGAAACACTACACTAAACCGCTTCTTTTTCTCTCCTTCTGTTCTCCTTTATATCTGGGAATGATTAGCTGGGGAGGAGCAGGGAAGAGATATATTTAGAAAGGAAAGCAATGTAAAAAATATCAGTTACAATTTTTTTTAAAAGAACCAAACATCTTCATGAAATTGGGTAGATACGACATTGTAACTTTTTCTCCAGAGCGGGTAAGGGCACATATCCATGTTAAAAATAAGGTTTTGAGTAGCAGATGTTTGACAATCCTTCCTCCCCCACTTCCTACAGAGGTAATTTTTGTGAAACTTTTCCAAAATAGGATGTTATACTCTGATCACTGGCATATCAAGGCTCCCCAAAGGGGGAAAAAAAATATGAACAGAGTAGACTGTGAATACCATTGCCTTGCTTGTTTTTTGGCAAACTGAGTTATCAGTTCTCATTCTGGTGTTTGTTCTCTGCCATGTGTAGACCTCATGACATTTCTAAAGTGTGAAACAGGAGATTCTTATCCCTTTCCTTCCCACTAACTTGTTATTTTTGGAAAAATCCAACAGATAAGTCATTTTTATGAATTCTTAACTTTGGCATTTGATTTATTTTTTTTCTAGTCAATGTTATCTCCTCAAGATTATACATTCTTCCCCTTTCTAGGTTGTACTACACTGTACTTCTACGTGTACACAGAAGATACTCAATGAGTACTGACTTGAATTCAACTGGGGTGGGAGGGGTAGGCAGGGAAGCCCCAGAAAGATAACAGGAAATGAATGAAAGGTCAAAGGAAATCTCCAATCAGAGAGATTAACTCTATTTTTGAAAAGTATGCAAAGTATCCACGCTACCTTAAACTATCTTCTACCATCAATATACTGGACAAGATTAAAAAAGTGATTATATATTTTCGTTAATCAAGAGAACTAGTAGCATCCGAGCCTCCATTTTAGCCCTCTAGTCTAAGATGAAGAATTCCAAAGGAGGAAAATAACATCTTCAAGTATGTATTTCTATGTGTTTAATTCACCGTAGTAACTAAAGTAAAAAGGCTCTCTGGACTAAATCCAGCATGAGTGACTCCTATGAATACACCTTATTCTAACCTCTCTGCTGATCTCCAGCCTTAACATCCCCAACTGCCTTTTGGACATCTTGAACTGGATCACCTTGGAGACATGTTAAGGTTAGCCTGTCCAAAAAGGAACTCATTTTCCTCAAACCTTTTCTGCCTTCCAAAATTCCCTATTACTGCTGAGGGCATCACCAATCTCCCATTCAACCAGGCTGGAAACCCAGGCATCTTCCAAATCTCCTCACTCTCTCACCTCCCATACACAATCTGTGGCCAAAGCCTGTTCATTTTACATCTCTGCCACGTGTCCTCTTTTTTCCTGATACTGCCCTGCTGCAGGCCCTTATACCCTCACACCTGGACTACTGCAACAGCCTTCTGGTTGGTCTGCCTACCTCAAATTCTTTTTATTCCAGTCCATCCTTCAATTATCAAAGTGACCCTCCTTAAATGCAGGCCTGACCATGTCACTCCCCAACTCAATAAATTCCAATGGCTCTCTCTCATCTCCAAAATCAAATAGAAAATCCGGTTTGGCATTCAAACCCTTTTGTAACGAGACCCTTCACATTTCCAGTCTTCTTATATAACTTCTTATGCCACGCCCTCAACACTGCTCTATACAATGACTATGACCTCTTTGCTATTCCTCCTCATTTCAGGCATTCTCACAGGCTGACCCCAAGCATGGAATGTTCTCTGTCTTCATCTTTGTTTCCTGCTTTCCTGGCTTCCTTCAAATCCCAGCTAAAATCATGTCTTCTACAGGAAGCCCTTCCCGATCATTCTTAATTCTAGTACCCTCCTTCTGTTGATATTCCCAATTTATCCTAAATTTAGCTTTTGTTCACAGTTATTTCCATGTTGTCTCCCCCATTAAATTGTGAGTTGTCTTTTGTTTTTTTACCCTTTCTTAGTATCCCCAGCCCTAGCACAGTGCCTTGAACAGAGAAGGCACTTAATAAATGTTTACTGACTATTAACTTTCATTAACACCCAAGATTCTTCATAGGATTATAAACTTTAGAGCTTGAAGGGATGGGCCTTAGAGGGCTATTAAATACAACACCCTCATTTTACACATGAGGGAACTAAGGCACAGATAAGTCACAAAGCTAATAAATTGTCTTTGGCAGGATTTAGATCTACAATCTTCCCAACTGTAAGTTCAGTGACTTATCCACAATTCTCAATTTCTTTGTCAAAAATACAGAAGTGTCAAGACATTAAGAAATATCTGACCCTGAAACAAAAAAAAAAACTAGTTGCCATATATATGAAATACAGGTGATGTAGTGAAAAGAACCCTGGAGTCAGAAAAGCTGTATTGAAATCCCAGCTATGCAATTTATGATTTGTGTGACCTCAGACAGACGACCAGTAAGCCACAATTTATTCATCTCTAACATGAACGGGCCGGAATTTATCTCCAAAATTCCTTCCAATTCTAAATCTGTAATCTTAAGTCACATTTGAACAAAGGGAGAGAAAAATGGATCAACATTTCTAAAAAAAAAAAATTTCAATGAATTTGAGGAACAATGAATAGGGCTCCATCTTTAAAAGCAAGTCTTTGAAGGTATTTAAAGACAAAGTAACTGGACGATTTTAAAAGATGACTTCCTACTTTGTCCTTTTAGCCCTTATCCCCCAAATGGAATCATAGTCAATATTTAGCCATGGTATTTTGCTCTCTAACCCAAATCGGTTATCATATCATACAGTAATAATTTCAAGGTCTGTACCTCTATATTTAACGAAACATATTAGAAAGACTATAACATGAAGAAAAAGGTCAAGCTTTAGAAAACAATATACATTGTTTAACAGATACCGGATCGAGTTTGGTGGGAAATAACTCTAATTTCTAACGATTCCTGGTTTACAAAAATTTTGACAACAGACATTTCAGCCAATAGGCAGGTCTTGCACTGATTAGGCTAGGAGCAAAGCGTGGTAAACAATTCGGCTTCATGTCCTGCATAGCTCAAAGTAAGCACTTCCTCAAATCCAGCACTCAACACATGCAGATGAATTTCTAAGGCCTGGGACATTTTAAACTCTTGGAGGCAAAGGGCTCTCCCCAAAGTCAAGCTCCTCAGCAGAGACTAGATGTCTACATCTTACTGGTCAATCAGTTCCCTTGTCCCAGACCCGCCCCCCTCCCAGATCCTGAAACTATGCACCCAGTTAGAAGACTGAAAAAAAAAAATACACGGAGCTTTAAGGTGCGTAGAAGAGTTTTGCAAACCTGAAAGCACTACACTAATGTCTGAAATGTCTGTTAACTCAGAACTGAGGTGTTAGATTGGACCCATGATCCAGCCTCACCCACCCAGCTGGAGTACGAAGAAACAGCCAGGACCTGGGCACACAGGAATGCCCAAGAAACACTATTAGAAAAGGGGCTCAAGTCTTCCCCTTCTGCTTCAAGTAACCCCAGGACACACTGTCCGGCAGTAATCTCTATCCATTATTTGTTAATTCATAAACCGCATCCCCAAAACGCAAAACACTTTCCTCCCTAGTGAAGGCATTCACCCTCTCAGCAACCCACCCAGACAGAAATATCCATTTCAGCAGCCAATCTAAGAGGACCTGACCTCAACTCCAAACTCTAAACCAGAGGCCATCAACTCCCATCCTCAAGCCTCATCCCATTTGCTGTCCACTTTGTGATTAGACTTGGCACACAGATAAACATGATCAATATGGATCGAAAGACTCATGCTGCCCACCTGAAATAAGGTCACTTCCATGCAATGTAAACAATGGTACTGCCAAACAGGGCGGAGGCTCTCCAGTCCACCCCAAACCCAAGCTTAATCGCTTCCCTTTGGGATTAATAAACAGCTGAACTAAGTAACTTCTATGGCCCAGGACTAAATGACCCCAAAAAACTACAGCTCTCCCTTCAAACGTGCTCCAGGAAGAAGCTCTAAATCAATATCAATCTACGGGGGCAAAATAAAGAAAAAAAGTAAACAAATTATCTTCTGCATGGATTTTCAGATCTTGGAGAAGGGTGAGGCTAAATAGGCTGAGAGTCTGAACGGATTGGGGAGGGGGTGGTGGGGGAAGAATAACAGAGGAAAGTTGCATTTCAAGTGACTGGTAGCCCACAAGTCCGGGGGTTTTGTTTTTGTTTGGCTGACACTTTTTTCTTGGGGGGGGGGATCGGCTGCGTACAAATTAACTGGGGGGGCAGCCCCAATCCCACCCAGACATCCACAAAGTGAACGTTAGGGAGACAAGAACATATTGCTCTCCAAATGAGCAGAGGAGGGCAGAGGAGGCTAAGGGCACGCGAACGGCCCAGGGTAGAAAACACGATTAGAATTTGCAAGGTTTGAAAGTGGGAGTTAAAGTTGGGAGGGAGATTTCTCAGACCAGAGCCTGAGAGCCCGACCCGACCCTGGCCGCGATGCGGGGACGCAGTCCCGCACCTTTGTTTTTTCCGAGACGAGGCAACTAAGGTGCGGAGGAATGAAGGAAAGCAGCTCTAGCTGCCCCCGCTTCCTCAAACCCTGTACCTCCCGGCCGCAGGAATCTGCAGCGCAGACCCGCCACTGGAAAATGCATTTATGCAGCGCCTGCTGTGTGCCAGATGCTTGTGGTCACCAAGGGGGCAGAGGGGTGCAGCAGCGGGGGGGCTCCCCAGGGAGTGCCCAAAGCACGGGGCGGGGGACCGGCGGCGGGCGGGCCGGGGCTGGGGGAGGGGCCCAGCGGGGCGGCGGCGCCAGGGTGGATCCCCCCGCCCCGCCCGGTGCGGACGCGCCCCCCGCTCACCCCCCGGCGTGGTGGAGAAGAGCGTCCCCCCGGGCGTGGTGCAGTAGTCGTGAGGTAGCTGCGCGGCGTCGCTGATGGGCACGGTGCGGGTGGGGATGGCCCGGCTCTGGCTCTGGCTGTGCTGGGGGCCGGGTCGGGGGCCGGGGCCGGGGCCGCTGCCCGAGGCCGAGGCGGACATGCTCGGGCCGGGCCGGGCGGGCGGAGGGAGGCGGCGGCGGCGGGCCCGGGCTGGGGCGGGGGGGGGCGGGCCGGGGCGGGGCTGCCGCGCTCGCTCCGCTCAGTCGCCGCTTCCCTCCCTCTCCCGCCGCCGCCGCCGCCGCCTCCCTCCGCCCGCCCGCCGGCTCCTCCCCTTCAGCCGCCGCCGCCGCCGCCGCCGCCGCCCGATCCTCCGGCCTCGCCTCAGCCCCGCAGCAGCAGCAGCGGCGACGACGACCGGAAGCGAGGAGGGAGGCGGGGGGGGGGGGGGGCGCCGGAAGTGAAGTGGGATGGGCGGGGCCCGGAGCCGCGCGTCCCAGCCCGGGGCGCTTAACCCTTTCGGGCCGCGGTGCACTGGCTGCTGGGCCTCGGACTGCTTTCTTTTTTAATTTAAATTTTTTATTTTCGGTTCCAAATTCTTCCCCACCCACTGATGAGGCAGGAAATATGAAGTCAGGCAAAACCTATGTCCTTTTTAGCCACGTTGCAGAAAAAAGACAAGAAACAAAAAAAATGTCAAAAAACAAACAAAGTCTGCTTCCTTCTGCCTTCAGCCGCCTCGGTTCTCCCTCTGGAGCAGGGGGACAGCATTGTTCGTCGTGGGTCCTTCGGCAATGTCTTGGATCATTGTATTGCTGAGGACAGCAAAGTCACTTGCAGTTGTTCATCACACAGTGTTGCTGTTCCTGTGTGCAACCTTTTCCTGGTTCTGCTCACTTTGCATCAGTTTATGCAAGTCTTCCCAGGCTTCTCCGAAACCACCCCCATCCTCATTTCTTGCAATAGTGTTCTGGCACAATCATATACCACAGCTTGTTCAGCCATTCCCCAACTGATTGTGATTGGGGTTGTGGTTTGTCCTTTTCTCAAAGAGGACCATGACATCAGGGCGGTGACATCATGACTTGCAATTGACTTGGATTTGAGTGAGGCAGGGCTGTGCAAGGTCACCAGCCTCACTTTCTCCTCCAGAGCCGTCTGGGTCCAGTGGCCAGATAGCGATCAGGACAGGACCACTGAAGCTGCACCCCCCCAATTGTTGGTCATCAGTTCACTTTCCAATTCTTTGCCTACACAAAGAGCTGCTATAAATATTTTTGTACATATAGGTGCCTTTCCTTTTTCTTTGATCTATTTGGGGTACAGACTGAGTAGTAGTATTGCTGGAGCAAAGAGTATGCACAGCTTTATAGGCCTTCCGGCATAGTTCCAAATTCTTCTCCAGAATGGTTGAACCAGTTCACAACTCTACCCACAACACATTAGTGTCCCAATTTTTCCACATTCCCTCAAGCATTTATCATTTCTGATAAATGAAGTGGTACCTCAGAGTTGTTTTAATTTGCATTTCTCTAATTGTTATCAATATAGAGCATTTTTTCATACTTTGATTTCTTCTGAAAACTACTTATTCGTATCCATTTACCATTTATCAATTGGGGAATAAATTTTATTCTTGAAAATTTGATTCAGTCCCTATATTTTTGAGAAATGATACTTTTATTGAGATATTTGCTGTAAATTCCCCCCCCCCCCCAGTTTCTTGCTTTCCTTCTAATTTTGGCTGCATTGATTTTGTTTGCACAAAAACTTTTTTAATTTTGTGAAATCAAAATTATCCATTTTATCTCCCATGATCCTCACTATCTCTTATTTGGTCATAAACTCTTCCCTTATCTGTAGCTCTAACAGGTAATTTTTTTCCATGCTCTCCAAATTTGCTTATGATATTACCCTTTATGTCTAAATCATGGACCCATTTTGAGCTTATCCTAATATTTGGTGTGAGATGTTGATCTATGCCTATTTTCTGCCAAACTGCTTTTCTAGTTTTCCCAGCAACTTTTGTCAAATAGTGAGTTCTTTTTTTTCTTTCTTTTTTTTCTTTTTCTTTTTTTTTCTTTTTGGCTAGGCAATGGGGCCAAGTGACTTGCCCAGGGTCACACAGCTAGTAAGTGTTATGTGTCTGAGGCTGGATTTGAACTCAGGTCCTCCTAACTCCAAGGCTGGAGCTCTATCCAGTGTGCCACCTAGCTGCCCCTCACATAGTGAGTTCTTGCCCCAGTAGCTAGGATCTTTGGGTTTATCGAACCCTGGGTTACAGTAGTCATTTACTTTTGTATATTATGTATCTAATCTATTCCATTGATCACCACCTCTATTTCTTATCCAGTACCGAACTGTTTTGATGATTACCACTTTGTAATACAGAGGTCTGGTACTGCTAGCCCCTCTTCACTTTTTTTTTTCATTGATTCCCTTGATATTCTTGACCTTTTTTTCCTCCAGATAAATGTTGTTACTATTTGTTCTAGTTCTATAAAATAATTCCGTGGTAGTATGATGGTATGGTGCTGAATAAATAAATTAATTTGGTTGTATTGTTGTTTTTATTTTATTAGCTTGGCCTACCCATGAACAATAAATATTTCTCCAATTGTTTAGATCTGTATTTGAGTGAAAAGCACTTTGTAATTGTATTCATATAATTTTTGTATGTGTCTTGGCACATAGACTCCCAAATATTTTATACTGTCTGCAATTATTTTAAATGGAATTTCTCTTTCTATCTCTTCTGCTGGATTTTGTTGGTAATTTATAGAAATGCTGTTTATTTTACATCCTGAAACTTTGCTAAAGTGTTGTTTCAACTAATTTTTTTAGTTGATTCTTTTAGGTTCTCTAAGTAAAGCATTATATCATTTGCAAAAAGTGATGGTTTTGTTTGCTCATTGCTTATTCTTTTTCCTTCCATTTCTTTTTCTTGCTATAGTTAGCATTTCTAGTACACTATTGAATAATAATGGCATCCCTGTTTCACTTCTGATCTTATTAGAAAGGCTTCTAGTAAGGAATGCCTTACTAACTCTGATCTTGGACAAGTCTGCTCCTCTGTGTCTCAGGCACCTAAAAATATAAATTACAAAGAAGGTGCAACAATTCTAAATCATAGATCTAGTCTCAAACCTGTATATGGCCCTAGAACTAGGGCTAAGTCACCTAGCTGGAGAATGGGTCTTAAAGAAGGGAAAAAGCCTATTTAAATCCTGCCTCTGACACATACTGGCTTGAGTCCCTAAGTCTCTCTACCTCTGTCTGGCCCAGGCAGAACTCTAGGATGATAAACTGCAAAGAAGATGATATTAAAAAACTCAGATTCAGTTTCTATCCCTATCCATTATAAAATCCTATTTTTAATGATAAATTGTGTCTGATAGCACCTTGGAAAAAACCCTGTTCAAATCTTGCCCCAGTCCCTTGCTGGCTGTGTGACCCTACGTAAATTGCCTAATCTCTCTGAGATTTAGTTTTCTCATCTGTAAAATGAGACTAATAATCCCGGGTATGGTTCTCCAGCGGCTCAAAGCATTTTTTCAAAGTTGAAAGTAAGACTTAAAAGCATTAGGTAGAATGTAAGATTCTCTTTTTTTAATAATAGTTTATTTTTTTTTCCTGCTTATATGTAAAGACAATTTTTAACATTCATTTTTTATAAAATTTTGAATTCCAATTTTTCTGTCTCCCTTCCTCACCTCCTCCCTCCCTAAGATGGTAAGTAATTTTACATAGGTTATAAATGTGCAATCATGTAAAACATGTTTCCATATTAGTCATGTTGTGAAAAAACAACTAGAACAAAATGAAAAAAAATAAAAATAAAAAAAAGTGAAAATAGCATGCTTTGATCTGCATTCAGACTCCATCTGTTCTTTCTCTGGATGTGTATAGAATTTTCCATCACGAATCTTTTGGAATTGTCTTGGATTATTGTATTGCTGAGAAGTAAATCAATCACAGTTGATCATTGAACAATGTGGCTGTTACTGTGTGCAATGTTTTCCTGGTTCTGCTCATTTCACTATGCATCAGTTCATGTAAGTCTTTCCAGGTGTTTCTGAAATCCACCAGCTCATCACTTCTTATAGCACAATAGTAGAATGTAAGGCTCTTGAGGACAGAGTCTATTTCATTTTTGTCTTTGTATCTCCAATCCCCTCACACATCATTAGCACATTAATCAAGGCTTATCAATAAGTTGCACAAGTGTCAATTGTTATTTATTGTAAGGACCCGTAGAACATAAAAGGTTCCAGATGAGAAGGACCTTAGAACTTAGGACATTATATAGCTGAAAAGAGACTTTAGAACATGCCAAAGGTGTAGAGATCCTAGGGATAGGGACTGGATCTGTAATTGGGATGACATGAATACCAATATATCTACCAACATATTTTAGTTCCTTCTTTGCTACTTAGAGAGACCCTAGAGCAGCCATTTGCAAACTTGGTTTCAGAACCTCTTTAGAACTGTAAAAGTTATTGGGAATTTCTCAAAGCTCTCTTGCTTGTAGGGGTTATAGCTGTCAATGTTTATTGTATTAGAAATTAAAATGTCTTAGTATTATTATGAAAATAGTTTTGATGTCGAGGACCTCCTAAAAGGGTCTCCAGGACATCCATACTTGAGAAACGCATTGAAATCTTAAATGACTTGCCCAAGATCACACAACCAGTATAAATCAGAAGTGGGAGACAACCCCAGGTCTTCCTAGCTTCAGTGCACACCTGTTATTCACTATGCTGCCTCAAAGGACAGGCCTTATAACAAGGAATTTCAGAGCTGAAAGAGTTTTGAGATGGCAGCCCTTTAGACTACAAGAGCTGGAAGGCACCTATTCACCTTCAAATTATCTCGATTTATAGACGGGGAAACTGAGCCACAAAGAATGAGTGTGGTTTGCCCAAGATCAGTGTCAGCCCATCAAAAAGTGTTTCGTGCCCGGCATTATGAAGGTCAGGCCGGCCATGCTCCCTCCCCCAGAGGGAGCTTGTAGTTTCACTAGTGAAGTGAGACTTAAACAAAAACCAATTACATCAGCATTATAGACAGATAAACTAAAGTGCTAAATTGTGCAGAGTGGATAATTAGAGAACAGAACAGTCTATAATGAAGGGTAATGATGCCACATGAAAGATATCATCA